GAACTTCTCCGTGGAGATCCTCTCGAAGTAGTCACGCCATCGCTGCGATACCCTTTTTCGGTTCATCAGAAGATGGTTGTTCTCGTCGTTCATGCGAAAGAACGTCTCTATATCTTCGCTTTGGCGTTGGCGAAATTTCGCAAGTCGGTACAAGTGCCGCTCACCGTTGCGCGTCTCCATTTTCTTTGCAGACATCGTCGAAGTGAGCGGCTTCCACTACAGCGGCGCCCTTCTTTGCAGCATTCCCCGCTTCCTGGTATTTCTGCCAGTTGTCGGCCGATTTGTTCCCGAGGTACATGTGATAAAGCGCCTTTTCTTCTCGCAAACTTTCGCTTGGACCTTGTCCGTTCAAAGAAAGGCCTGCTTTTCGATTTCACGCCGTCCGGGCTTCGTTGTGCCTAGTTTAGGCGGGCGACCTGGATTATCGAATTAATGGCTTCATTCCAGGTTTCCTCGACAGATGTGACCTTGGATAATCGTATGCGAGAGATCATAGCTGTCTCCCGCTCTCTCAGTCGCCACCACTTGATTCTCTCGAGACCGCACCGCTCGACCTGTTTACATCTGGGAGCTGTAAATTTCAGCGTGCAGATCAGCGGGCGGTGTTGCGCGGCAACTGTCTCGTACGGCACTACCTTAACGTACGTGGCGAGTCCTTGATCGCCATGTCTGATAAGCACAAAGTTTCTTTGTGTTTTTGTACTCCCGCTGTAGAAGGTGATGAGGTGGGACTCGCCTTTACGAAACTTTGTGTTCATTATGACGAGATTGTGCGTGTCTACATATTGAAGAACCTGCTTTGCGATCCCTAACCGAATCCACCATGACAAGCGTAGCCGTCTTTTGATGGTACTTCGGCCGCCATCTCATTTGACAGAGCCCAAAAGTCGTCTTTGGATGGCTCGGAGCAGCCTGCGGGGCATAAGCAGAGAAGATGTGGTATAGTCGTTGTTTGGTAGCGACAACAATCTTCATTTAACGGTCGCTAAAACGAACTACACTAGCGATGGAGTCACGGAACTGCTGGGACACGATTACAGCTACATCATTTTTGGTGTTCGGCCCACCACAGATTGGCTTTGAAGCCACGACCAAGTTCTTCCCACTAACAACCAGACCACCTCGTCTCCTTCCCTGCGTGGAGATCGATCCTTCTGCTCTCTAGTACTTCTGCCAGCTCGTATGAGCGCCCGTCAAGTCCCGACATTGAGCATTGCAAGGCAAACCTTAGAAACGTTGCCAGACTTGCGGACTAGCCTGGTTGCTCCCCCCAATACCGTCCTTGCATCAAGGACCCTCGCATTCCTTCCACACGGGGCCATACGGTGCGCGTCGGCTTCCGCGAACGCCGTAGCATTATATCGAGATACACGTGTCATAGTAAAACATGGTTATGTGACATATGGTAGTCGTAGGCCGGCCCGTCACGAAGGCCTGTAACCTGGAATCGGATGTCCGCGATCGGCTCAGCTCCCAAAAGCGAGCAGTTTCCAGTGGCACCACTCAGAGGAGCGAACTTCACCAACACGACAACGATTCTAAGCCACCGCCAATCTCACTGTTACGAGCAGAGGAGTAAAAGCGAAGGAATGTAGAGTGCTGCAGACTAGATCTACTGCGAAAAAAGCCTGAAACCTGCATAGCAAAGATGAAGCCACTATGTCGAGAATATTTCCAAATTATGATTCTAAGAAAAAGGAACAATATGGTCTAGATGTAATCCTATGGTTCACTGCTGCTACTATCTAGTACGGTTCCACTCGTTATGCTATCTAAGGATACGCGCTAAAAATTGCGCTCAAAAAGGAGCCTCACTAAGCTGACCAGTTCGCGATAATATATCAAAGTATCCCCAATAAATCCTATCCGCCCTCACAAATCCTATCCGCAGCCTCAAATGGCGTAGGAGGTTAACGGTTTGTACTGTTTCAAACCGAACTAATGCTAAGGGTGCCACGTCAGAGCCTGGCGAGCTACGCGTGGTCGAATGTTTTTCACGCCGAGAACAGGAACAAATACGGGCCTCACTCCCCTGAACCTGGGGAACCACCGACAAGGCAACGTCGGCTGGGACCGCTCGAACGAAGCTGCAAGAATCGCAGGGCCAACGAAGATTTGAGTCGCCCAGGACTAGAATGCAGATCTGTACATTCAACGCACGAACGCTTTCACCGGAAGCTCACATCAAAGACCTGATGTTGCAAGCTAGGAAGGTCAAGTGCGACGTCATCGGACTGACCTAGATGAGGGGCATTGCCCACTACACGCCGTATATGAAACTGGAGAGGAACTGTTCCTTGGAACATGCGATAGCAGAGGCGGTAGCGGTGCGCGCGTCCTCGCCAAAGCGTTGGCCATGAACATCGATTCGTAAGAAAATCTGACGATCCGAATCGGACGTTTGCGATTGAGAAGATCGCAAACGTCCGCCTACACACCAACATCAAGTTACGACGAGGATGAGCTCGAAGCGTTCTATATGGAATTGGGGAAGTTCTACAAAGAAGACCATACCTTTCAAGGTAATCGTTGGAGATTTCAGCACTAAGATCGGACCAAGAAGAACGGCTGAGGAACTTCACACCGGAACTCACGGAATAGAGTGAAATGAGCAGGGGGAGAGGTTGTCTGAGTTCATCTTGTCGACCCATACCATCCACCATGAGTCGCAGTTCCAAATGCCCTACTCTCTATGCTAGACATGGGAGTCTCCTGATAAACAATTCTATAACGAGATCCACCACATCATCTGCAATTGAAGGTTCTGCCTGACCGATGTCGCTGCTGTTCCTAAGTTCTACAAGGGATCCGATCATCCTTCGCGCAAGATTCCGCTTTTTGACCTTCATCAGTTGGAATCACTTCACTTCTCTCGCTGTTCTCTGGGAGGATTCCGTTATCGACAACGCTGACGAGGAATACGAACGGCTTGTTGCTCATCTTCACGACTGCGCCAAGAAGTCAGAGTTTCAAAATTACCAAGAAGCGTTTATTTCTGAAAACTTTCGAGCTGATTCGGCTATGAGCGATAAAGGAAAACGTCAAACAGAAAAGAGCAGCAGTGCTGGTGGAAGCCACAGAGGCTGGGAAGAGCATACGCAACGCCCGCCGCGACTTCGCCAACTGTAAGACCAAGATGACCGCCCTCCGACGTCCGGATGGAACAATCACCGCATCCAGAAGGGCGACGGAAGCAGTCATCCACGACTTCTACTCTGATCTCTTTGACAGCGACTTCCACCTGCCACCACACCACTCATAGCAGGATAGATACGTCGTTCCTGCAGTTCTCCCTTCCGAAGTCGTCGCAATCGTTTGGCACCCCAGCAGAATCAAAGCCGAACATTTGAAGAGTCTTCCGCCAGTTTTTGTCAAAACTCTGGCTCGACTCATCACGCGCTACCTGTCGGGATGCAAGGTAGACACCTCGTGGAAAACCAGCAGGACTGTTTTGTCTAGGAAAAAGGGAGACCTCTACGACATTGGGAAACATCGCCCAATCTGCCTGCTGTGTGTAGTCTACGAACACGTCACACGAGTCATCCTGAACAGGATTGGCAGATTACTAGGCGAAGGACAGCCAAGCAAGCAAGCAGGGTTTCGAGCAGGATTCAGCACGATCGATTACATCCACCGGTAACGAAGCTCATCGAAGTATCACGAGTGTACAACATGCCGTTATGTCTCACGTTCATCGAACTGAAGAAAGCCTTCGATTCTGTTGAGACAGAAGCGATTATTGAAGCCTTAGACAACCAGGGTATTCCTACGCAGAACATCAGGACCCTTTGTGAGCTCTACAGCAACTTCATGAACAGCATTCTACAAGGAGATCATCATCGACGTGACGAGAGGGGTCCGGCGAAGAGACACCACATCGCCGCAGCTCTTTAGCGCCTCTCTCGAGAACGTCATGGTGAACTGGAGTGGGAAGACATGGGAGCGAAGATCGACGGTCGGCAACTACACCATCTCCGCTTTGCTGTTGACATCATTTTGGTAACACCAAATCGAGCAAGCGGAGCAAAGGCTGATTTCGTCTGCGCGTGCAGAAAAATCGGTCTACAGCTGAATCTAATAAAGACGATGTTCATGAGGAACGGAATGGTTTCTGATGCCCCATTCACGCTCAACGGAACGACCATCTCTGAACGCTCCAGCTATGTGTACCTGGATCGCGAGCTCAGTATGTGAGCGAGTTAGCACCAGAGCTGAGCAGAAGGAAGCGAGTAGCGTGGGGAGCTTTCACGTACATTGAGGGAATAGCGAAGAAGACGAAGAACACTGGCTTCGGGCCCACCCTTTCGATACCGCGTCCTTCCTGCTTTGGCTTATGCCTCAGAGACTTGGACTACGAAAGCAGGATGAGCATGCGGTTGGCGCTTTTAACGCGCCATCGAAAAAACGATGCTCGGAGTGTCCGAATACAGCAAGTGAGAGAGAGAATCTGGAGCTCCGCACTCCGCCGACGATCAAAGATCAGAGACGCAGCCGCCTTTGCCAAGGGTTCAAAGATCAGGTGAGCCGAGCATATCAAGCGTTTCGAGGACGACCGTTGGACCAGAGCGATTGCAGACTGGATTCTACGGGATGCCAAGCGGACACTTGGACGATAGCCCACGCGGTGGTTAGACTTCTTTGTGAAAGCTCTGAACGAATGGTGTGAGGTTCATCGTGTCCCTTGAGCAGAGAGAACTCATTGGGCAACTCTTGCACGTTGCAGGGACGAAAGAGGACGTTGCTGACGCTCGTTCGTGGAACTCGATGATGAACAGGAGCACAGGTAATACAGGTGACACCAACGCATGTATCTTGAGATGCTGAATTCCAATCTGCTTTCCGAATTTGAGTAGCTCGTCTTTGAACTGAGCAGAGAAGGTTTTCACCCACCATCTTTTCGTGCAATAGTCTTTTCACAAGGATCAATGAAGCCACCAAGACAGGAAACACATATGTAACATAAAGCTCGGAGAGGATCTTCTTTTTGGACTGTCTCCGCGTCAGAATGAAATCAAAAGCGGACTTACTTGCAAAACAACGTTGCCTAAATAGAGCATCTTGATAAACACATACAAACAAGTGACGTAGTTTCCCCATCGTTTGGATACACACAGTCCTGAGACGTCGGTTACCTGAACGTAATTTTTTTATCTTTCATTGAAACGACGCTGTTCCCTTCAGGAAAGAAAGCTGCTGGAGTAAGAACTTCTCGTTGGATTTCCAGTGCATCCTCCATGTGTCCTGCAATAGTTTGCACAGTAGCTGCTCTGGCGTCCGCGTCCATCATGCGAGCGTCACAAGCCATCTGAGTCAACGACTGTACGTTGATTCCTAAGAGACCAAACCATTTCAGTAGCTCAGCATAAATTCGAAACAGGACGGATGCACCGAAACAATTAAATTGACAGCTTACAAATATGATCGATGTAAAGACTAGGGTTTGTCGATGTAGGGATATTGAAAAACAAAGAAGTGGAACCTACAAGGTGTCACCAACGTGGTATAAACGTAGGGCGCTTTGGATTTGAGTGACGTTGCATTTTGAACGGAGTCGTACACAAAAAAGTCTGCGCATCTCGAAAGTTCAGCTACTTTTCTGGCTATCTTGGTAAAAGGAGGTAGCCTCGATTAAAAAGCATTTTGATCCAGTGCAGGACAATGCAGCCAATTTGCGCAGACAAGCTATTTTCGAGGCGCTTTTGAAAATTGTTTTTCTAACCCGTAAAATGGTTGCTAAGGGACCAGGTGAGATCGCATTTGGTTGCGTCAAATACTTACTAGGCGCAGATGCATCTCGTAACCGGGCTCCGAGATCGCCATCCGTACCGTTTTTGGAACGGGGGATCGTTAGTTATAGGGGAGTAGATGAAGGTTGAGTTGTGGAGAGACAGCAAAGAATTTGTCTACCTCCATTTGTGGTTGATTAGGGTACGGATCCCTGGTTATGAGAGCGTTGGTAAAAAGAAATACCCTACGGCTGACCCAGCAAACGTCTTACCACATGCACAGCATCACCTTACTCTTGGACTGGTAGGACTGCACTACTGCTGCCCGACCCAGCAAACGTCTTACCACATGCACAGCATCACCTTACTCTTGGACTGGTAGGACTGCACTACTGCTGCCCTTTCTGGGAGATCTACCCACGGACGCTTCCAGAATGGCCCACCTAGAGGGTTGCTCTTTCATTTCCAATCACAATATTGTTCAACCAGTCCGTAAAGGGGGAAGATTTTGTAGAAGTACGCGCTCTCCCTTGAAAATCGACAAGAAATCTTTCTTACTTACTTGAGTGAGGACCTTCATCATTTGTCCATTCGGAACAGCCAAGTGTGGTAACTAGACAGGGAGTTGATAAGTATAAAATGGTTCCAGTCCGCCAGTAAAAATCCAATACATTTGATCTCCCTGAGTGAGAAAACACCGTTCCTTGCTCATAAAGCCTAACCTCATCCTCGGTTGGAAAGGGGATCATGCTTTCCTTGACAACAAACCGTCGCCAAATCCGACCTGATGTGTTGAAAGGTGCGGCCGAGAACTGGCTGGTTTTTCGTCTTATATATTTTATGGATGGGTTACCTTCTCCTACGTTTCTTTTTTTTGAGGTGTCTTGTGTTAAAGACCGTTTTTCACAGGAAAAATATATAATACAAGAGAGGGTTAGACCGCCATGCTACTTGATAGAAATAACTACGTCTATCTGTATGTGCGTGTGTCTGTCTGTCTGTCTGTCTGTCTCTCTGTCTGTCTACCTGTCTGGTTGTCTGTCTGTTTGTCTCTCCTCTGTCTGCCTGTCTATGTGTCTAGAAATTCGGCACCACCTGATCAGCCAGTCGAGGGGCTGGATAAAATTGTGGATTGGATAGATATATGGGGCATGGTTCAAAATGCATGGAACACACATGAACTGAGCAAAGGCCCGCCCACTGTGCGCGGAACGCACGCTTAGCCACTATATCAGAAATTCGTTATTCGGTTCCAGAAGAGCCCGGAGAGCGGAAAAAGTGGGAAACGATAGTCAATGGGTAGGCTCATAAAATGGAGCTGCGCCCGCTTCGAAAGCTTCAAAAATCGTAACTGGGTTCCAGATAAGCCCCGTGAGCGGGAAAAACAGTAAACGAGAGGAAATGGGCCGGCGGATGGGAAACACACCCGCGATGGGCGTTGCTCGAATCGAACTACTATTTCCTCTACCAACTGATAAAAATACCACTTCTTCCACTCCATACGGAACTGTGTAGTAATTCTCTCTCTCTCTATCTCTATCTCTCTCTCCCTCTCTCTCTATTCGAATAGGCAGGGGAGACTCATTTTGCACGAAAGAGGAGGATTGCTTGGTGAAGATGGCTAATCCGGCTGGTCAAGACATGAGAGAAAAGTCAATCTTAGGCAGCGTTCACACTTCGCGACAGCAGTGGCGATCGCCGCGATCGTCGTTACGCGTCAGAGCGCCGCTCCCCAAGGCTATTACTTGGACCGCTAGAACTGATAAATGAGAAAATACAACTTGTGATACCTTTTTTCTCTTAGTAATGGCTTTTTTCTCTTAGTAATGGCTAGAAAATGAAGATTTTTTTCTACTTAAGAAGATCTGAACTATAAGGGAGGAGGAGGTTTCACCCTTTGTTCAGGCCGGGATAAGTGAAACTTCATTCGATAGGCCAGCTTTTCTTTGTTTCCTTTGTTTTCATTGTTTCAATTTATATGAGTGCCTTGAAACTTCCCTACTGGCCGAATTGTTTAACTTCCCAAATATTTATTGTTTACAAGTCGAAAAGAAATTAGAAATTAGAAAAGAAATTCAGAACACTAATTTTTTTATGCAACATCGCCACGATCGTCGCGAAGTATGAATGCTGCCTTACAAGTGTTGGCTTACAAGGGAACCCCAGCAGGTCGATCCGGCCGTTTGCAAAGAGATGTATATAGATGGATCTGCCTTGACCGCTAAATTCAAATCTGCCCTCGAAATTTGCGGAACGATTTTCTGAAGGGAGGTACGGACCATTCATTCTTTGCTATGTTCCAAAACACTTCTGTTTAGTTAATTTACCTAGTTCTTCGATCATTCACATCAGGAGCAATTAAGTTTGCCATTTCTTGTTTCTTCGACAAGCTTCATTATGATGATATCCATTTATATTTATTCATTAGAGCTTGCAGTAAGAGATGAAGGCCTTATGGTTTGAAAGCATATGGTATTCTTCCACGAAATGATGGAAATAAAACAAGCTCTCACAATGAGCATAGCGAATAAAGAAGTACTCTTTACACACGGTACAGTCATAGGAAGGAAAGCAGTTCTGAAGAGGTGTTCCATACACCAGGATGTGCTTCGAAGTATCCAGCTGAATACCAAGAATAGGATAAGAAATCTTCAAATTTGGGTGAGCAAAATTGAAAATAGGCTCGAGATAGAAGTAGGAGAATGGAGTCCCGTTGATGTATTGATGAAGTTATATTACATGTTATATTGTGTCGTTGTTATAACATTGCTATGTTATTACATGTTATGTTATGTACACATGTGCTCCTAAACCATAGATCTTCATTTCTGAATGCAAGCTCTAATGAACGGATATCATGGCTAAAACTTCTCAAAGGAACCAGAAACGGCTGTCAAATAATCAAAGAACTGTGTAAATTAGCTAAACAGAAGTGTTTTGGGGACTCATATGAAGTGTCCTACACAAAAGCAAAGGTTCCTAAAAGTCAGGGATCCCAACATATGACTTCGAGGATCTGAAGTAGTACGTTTATCCACTACCGGTCGCTTGCAGCAGTCAGTTATCGTTCCAACTCGTGCGAACATAGCAGAGGACGAATGGTCCGTAACTCCCTTCATAGAAACATTCAGGGGGTCAAGACACGTCCATCTATATACATTCCAAGCAAACGGCCGGATCGACCTCTTGGGGTTCCCTTATCAGCTGAGCCTTCTAACAAAGACGGATCAGTTTTAGCGATGATGAATTGTTGGGAACGGAGAATTCTTCGATTTCTAGGCGAGGATGTATTTGGACTCTGGGAGCATTCAGGGAATAGTATCGGTTGAGCTATCAAACTTTGAATACGTTCTCATTTCCTAGTTTGACATTTGTGGATTCAGTTTTTATCCTTACGATGTGGTACCTTATTCTGGTCGGAAAGCGAAAGGGCATGGTCTCGAAAACTGTTCAGTAAATCATATTTTGCACAGACCTCGGCGGAACTCTGCTTGGTTAGACATCTCATTGAAAGCTAAAACTGCATGGGTACATTTGTTGAGTATTTGACCGAGAAGCTACATCTCCTGAGAAGGCACATGAGGGCGATCAAAAGATCCTAATTCTCATCTCGTAGACAAGCATCAAACATGTGCGCTATTAGGTCTGACTGGAAGCTTTTTGATTCACCTCAGTCACGGAGGTTTATGATAGGATGGGGGAATTAGCAGAAGTCATAGAGTGCTATAACAGTTTCACTGAGCATCACCCTCACTTGATGGGGAGGTTCAAAACAGGGTGCATGGACCTTAGAAGCAATCGTTCCCCAACCTCACTTGATGGGGAGGTTCAAAACAGGGTGCATGGACCTTAGAAGCAATCGTTCCCCAAGTGGGGCTCCATGCGATGCACGTTTACAAAGTCTCCCAACTAATAAGCACTTGAACCAAGTTTAAGCTGCAATATTGAGCATCAATCCTAGTTCATATCGCAAGTTTTGAGCCGCCCTTGCAATTCAAAAGCTTAGATCAAGTGCAAGACGTCAGTGTCACAAACTCCCTTCAGTGTCGACCCAACACTCGATTCCAACGAGGTAAATGTCGACAGTGGTCAAAAACTGTACGGCAGCGACATGTAGAGCAGAAAATTGTCTACAACTACCATAGAATAGATTACAAAAGTTTTCAAATGTAAGTAGAATTTTGTTAGAAAAGATGCCACTACTCATAATTGCTTACAAAAGTATGTGGGAATCGAAATTTGACGAAAGAAGAATACTTTTGATTTCCGCCAGATGGGAACTTCCCCATTCGTTCCTGGGATAAGGGAACTTCTACCTGCTTTGCTTCGTAGCATCTTGTGAGCGACTTTACATTTTTCTATTATTGGGTAAATTTTCTTCGTACCAAAAGTATGTGGACCCTTCAGGAAAAAATTGAAAGCTTTTATGGGATTAGAGACTGGTAGCTCCTTCACGATTCCGTGCTAGTTCATTCAGTTCATCCGGTATGCTCATGGAAACTTGACTTCTCATGGTTGTCTCGTGTATAGTGTCTCAAGCAAAAATGCTGCGGCCTCGATGCCGTGAACCTCATATCACTGCCGCCTGCTATTATAGGCCCGCTGAAGTGCGATCCCCTGTCGTTTTTAAGTTCTCCCGCTGTGAAGCATGTTTCCTGCATCGCCCAATTCAAAAAGAGCAGAAGGTGAGAATCAATCACCTGATCGTGTGAACGTTTCATGTTGGAAACACAGGCACCATTTTTCCGCTTTTTCCAGAGCCATAGCAAACCACACAGACTCCAAGTTCAAAGAAGCATTTCAAGATCACCAGC